CCCGCTCCGCCGGTGTGGGGCTGCAGGACCGCCCGGGCGGGGGACCCCCAGGACCGTTGGTGAGGGGCTGCGGGCAGGTGCACCCTAAGGTGGGAGAGGCCCCAGAGCCGTGGGTGAGGGTCTGCAGGAGTTCCCCAGGACCCTTGGTCAGGGGCTGCACCGTGGTGGGACAGCCCCCGGGGCCGTTGAGGCCGCGCTGAGGGGCTGCCCTGCCAGGCGCGGGCGGACATCAGTGCCCCTGCCCTGGCTGCGGGAGCCGGGGGTGTGAGGCAGCGGGGCCGTGGGGTCCTCGGGGTGCTCTGAGCCTCTGGAGGGATTCCCAAAGCCGAGGAGCAGACGGAGCCAGGTCCCCTGGGCATGTGGGAGCCGTGAGGAGATGGGGTGGCAGCCACAGGCCTTTGGCCCAGGAGGTCATGATTAATTTAAACACGGAGTAAAAGAGCGCCCAGGGCTGTACGTGGCGCTCGGAGCTGAGAGCAGTCTGGCACAGCGAGTCCTTCCCGAGAGCTGCAGCTGGGTGAAGTTTACAGAGCCAGATAATTTTCACATTACATTTCTCTCTGTCCTCTCCCTGCGCCTCATGATTCGTCACTGCCACAGCCCTCTGCTTTCAGTGGTGTTTTGACAGCCGAGCCCTGAACAGCGCTCACAGCCACCACTGCTGTGTCCTGCAGAGGTATCTGGGAGAGGAATGGAGCAGTTTCATGTTTCTTGCCTCATTCTTTCTCCTGCAGAGCCATGGAGGTGCCTGCAGGGCTGGCTGGTGGGAGCGTGTCCTCTGCTGCAGCTCTTCCCAGCACGTCACAGCCAGCAGCAGTACAGATCACTGTCCTGAAGGCGCAGGACCTGGTAAAGTTATTTGAAAACGTCTCTACTAATTTAATAAACGAGGCCAGAGAGATTCTGTGTGCTGGGATCCTGTTTGAGGCCAGGTGGGGGGTGATAAGGCTACAGGAGGGAGTGGTGGGAGTATCAGAGATTCAGGAATACCGTACTGTGGGTTCCTCTACCTGCTGAGGGTTTGTTCACACAGAGCAAAAGCTTGTGAGTCACATAAATTAGGGAATGCATCTCCTCAGCAGCAGTCCAGAAATGCTGAGATGAAATGTAACTCTCTGCCTCCTCTAACTGTATGTAAATGGCAGCTTTTTTTTAAGCAAAACACAGTGAAAATGTGTATCAGTGAGGCAAATACCTCTGAAAAAATCTCAACTTGGTTATGCAGTCAGATTTTCATCCCAGCTACAGCTGTTTAAACCATATTGAAAGCAACAGGGTGGCTCTGGGCTTAAAAAGGCTGTGGCTCCAGTGCCAGACTATGAGCTGGTGCCAATCAAACCATCACTGCTGTGCTTTCCATGTGATGCACCCAGCTGTCCTTAAAGCCTCCTAGAGGAACTGGCATTTGGGAGGGAATGCAGAGGAGAAGCTCAAGCAGAAAAATGCAAATCCTTGCTTCTGCTCCAGCAGAAGAGAGCAAAAAACAACCCCAAAGCACCTGCTTGAGGCTGTTACATTGTAGTGTTGGAGCACCTCTCACACTGATAGACTCAGCAAACAGGTGAGAAGTATGAGGTGAGAGGAGGAAAAACAATGCTGGAAAGAATAAGCCTATGTATTGATTGCATTCAGAATGTTGCTTTGTGGTTCTGGTTGCTCCATCCTGAGAAAGGGCTGTGGCAAAAGGAGGGGGGGGTTACAAAAGGGCAATCACAACAACAACAACAATATGAAAAGAATTCCAGCTGTAAGAATGTGGAATCCACTTCCAGCTATAAGTGTGGAATCTGGTTAATTAGAGGTAGTGTAGAGAGAGATGAGAGAGGAGTCTTGGATAATTAATGGCACAGAGGAAGGTTAATTGGATTCTGTTTAGCCATTCATAGAATGCATGCTCAAGGAGACAGGGAGAGGGGCTGAAAATTAAAACCAAGTGAAAGAGATCTCTTTTTGTATAAGAGCCAACATGAAACTAATTACCCCAGTGACAGGGAGAGAGGGAGCTGAGGAAGAGGCTGTGGAGGTTGGGCATCCCTGTGGCTCAGCACTAAGGAAAAGTTGTTTGGGTACTATGGTCCTTGTATTCAGCCACTTCTCTGTGGATTGAGAACTAAACTGTGTTTCTCCTGCAGGGAGGCTCTTTGGTACTTGCTGCCCAGCACTCCCTCTTGCTGTAGAGGTGCCTGGTGCCTCCCAGGCATGCAGGTCCCCACTGCCACATGTTGTGCCCTCACCATCCCTCCTGTTTAAGCCCCTCCGTTTAGACATTTTAAATTCAAACTAGAATTTGAATCTGCTCATCCCTGCTTAAAGCAAGTGGTATGAAGGTGGTGTAACAACAAATTGCAGAGATCCCCAAAGAGCTTGCTGGAGCTCCTCTTTGATTTCATAGAATCATGGAATCATTAAGGTTGGAAAAGGCCTCTAGGACCATAGAGTCCAACCACTGCAAAGCCACCACTAAACCAAGTGCCACATCCACATGTATTTTGAACACTTCCAGGGATGGTGACTCCTCCACTGCCCTGGGCAGTGTCTTCCAGTGCCTGACCACCCTTACAGTGGTGAAATTTTCCCTAATATTTAATCTAAACCTCCCTTGGCACAACTGGAGGCCATTTCATCCATTTCAGGGCATTCTGCAGCGACATGATATCACAAGCATCCCGTGAGCTCATCCCTGTAGCTCAGGAGCTACTTTCTTAGAGACAACAAACATCTCAAGCTTCTCGGAAGCACAAAAATATCAGTGGGGTATTTTGGGATTTGTTTTAGATGTGTCTTTCCTGGGGTGAAGCCTGGACCTCTCCATCTCCTATGCCAAGGCTCCTGATAATCTTTGGGGCATCACGGCATGGTGGAGCAGGAAATTTCCCTCTTAAAGGCAGGGAAGGGTGAGGTCCTAGCATGGCCAACATCTGCTGCTCTTGGTGGAACAGGCCCCCACCCATGAGCCCTGTCCTGGGCACTGAACTGAGCTGCTGCCAGAGGAACTCGGCTCCCAGGCTGCTGCTGCAGGGGCAGGTGTTAATCTGCTCTTTTTTTGACAGAAAACTCTCAAAAGCGACGTGCTGGTCACGTTGGTGCGTGTGGAGTACAACGGAGCAGTCCTGGGAGACTCCTCCAAGGCTGATGTCTTGCCAGACGGGACAGCAAACTACAATTTCACGACTAGCTTTGAGTGCAGGGCCGACGGGCCCAACTCCTTGGATGTCATTGCGCAGAAACCGCTGCTCGGTGAGTACCTGGTGGGTACTGTTGGCTGCAGGAGCCCCTTGTTCAGGGATAGCACCTGAGCAGCAGCAGTGGGAGGATCTCAGCACTTGTGTTCCATCTCTGCCAGCTGGAAGAATCCCCTTCCATGTCAGCCTGTGCTCCTTTGGCTTCACTGTGCCTGTTGGCTTTGGGAGATGACAAGGAGCATGTGCCAGAGCTGACACAGACCCTTCCCAGCCCCCGAACTGCTGGTCTGAGGAACTCTGCCAGCTCCTCTCCTTTTATCTCCCCAGTGACTGTGGTAGAAGTGGGGCAAAAAGAGAAGAAAAAACAGGAGAAGACTGCACCTCTTGGCCAAGCTGTGGTGGACCTTCTACCTCTGCTACAAGGTACAACATTGACTTCCACAGCCTCCATAACCACTTCTTGCTCCCTGGCACTTTTTTACCTTTGCTTATGGAACCTTGACTATAACTTACCTCCTTCTGACAAAGTGACCTTCTTAGCTCTGCAAAATCTGGCTGGGGAGGAGAGGGGGTGGCATCAGTAACTCAGCATTAGGAGTTAGACCATGATTTTGTCTAGTGGAAGGGGTCTCTGCCCATGGCAGGGGATTGGAATGAGATGATCTTTAAGGTCCCTTCCAACCCAAACCATTCCGTGACTATGATTCTCTGCTGAAAGTCTCACTTTAGGCTGTTTGCGCTCCTGTTTCTTCCCAGGAGAGTGTTCATTGAAGGTCTCAGCTCCTTTGTATGCAGTGCCTGCCTCCCCATCAGAGAGCCCACGCCTGGAGGTCACGGTATGTGGAATTCAGAACTGTTCCTTCCCTCCTTCAGCTCTCTGCTGCTTTTTAATGGGAGGGAGAGCATGACTCAGCCACCTGGCTCATCACGGATGTGGTGCAGCCCTATATGTTACAGGCTTGGAGGCCTTTCCTGCTCCCATTGACGTCTGTCCCTAGTTGCCTGTGATAGGTGAAGTCATGCTGGGAAATGTTAATGTGTGCAGCTACTGATTTGCTCTGGAAAAAAAACAGAGATGGAAATCACAGTGGTGAAAAACTCAAAAGATACAACACCTGGGTCACCTCTCCAGCTTTATTAGTTTTCCTTTCTGTGGTTAAATTATCTGAGTCCATTATTGTGTGAGCTCTGGCTGCCTTTTCTGAAGGGTCCTTATTCATTCAGCTGGTTGCAAAGTACCCAGTGACTAAAATGAAGGGAATGAAGTATGAGACTGGGAAAGTGTGTCCAATTTTGCTGCTGAGCCTGCCTGCAGTGAGCACCAGGAGTGAATTGGAAGGGTGGATATCACATTAGCATCTCTGTGTTTAAGACACTCACCGTGAGCAAGGTGGGGGGACACTCATTAGGGAGGCCAGGTAATAAATGCTGACCAGCTGGTTTTTCATTGCACACCATCCATCCAGGGCTGGGACAGGTAATTAAAGGCTGCACACAGAGTGTGGAGATAGGGCAGAGGCAAAGCACAGCCTTCTGAATCACCAGGGGAAAAGCATCATTTTCCATCCTTGATGTTCCTTCTCTGCGGCTCCTTTTATGAGACCCTGCCTCATTCTCCATGGCTCATTTTATGAGACCCTCAGGGCACATGCCCTACCTCAAACAGGCTGTGATTTAAACAAACAAATACCACAATTGAGCCAAATTGATCCTAAAATTCCTTTCCTGTCCTGGTCTGTTTTCTTTTACATCTGAGATGAGGCATAAGATAACATTATACATTCTGGCCTTAGTTTTCTGCTTGCTTCTCCTTAAGACCAGGCAACTTATAATTGTCGAGTTACTGGCTCTACTTTATCCTTGTCTCACAGGCTGGCCTTGAAGTGACAGTGTGCACCAAAGAGCCCCTGCTCTCTGCCACGGAGTTCTCAAGTGGGAGCCTCCTGAGTGTCACGCTGGAGGCAGCTTATTCTGTTCCTGAAGCATTTACCACTGATTCCCAGCAAAACTACATGGCTTGTTTGCAAGTACCAGCAGCTGGTGAGGTGAGAATGGTCCAGGCATGGTGACAGGGGATTTGGGTTGTTCTCCCCCACCACAGAACAAGTGTCCAGGCACGTGGGCTGTACAGTTCCTGTGCCTGTGCACCAGCAGCCTTTGTTGAGAGGCCTTAGGGTCTCTGTGGCATGACATGTTTCTTTAACAGAAAGCTCTGCTTGGAAAGACTGGGATTCAACCTGGCAGCGTTTTTTTCCACAAGGCTCTTTGTATTTATCCCATTCTTTGTATGTGTGTGGTGGAGTGTGTTTTCTGAGCCAGGCCCTGCACTGCTGCTTAGCTTTGTTATCCCAGCTCCGAGCAGCTGGCTCTTGCTCTTGCTTCTGTTGGAAATGCAAATCCTTTGTTTCTCATGTCTCTCTAGAAGGAACTCCTCTTGCTCTTCAGGAATGGCATTGTGAAGGCCAATGGTGAAAAAGAACCATTACCCCGGCCCAAAAACTGGCCCCTTGGTAACATCCTGGCCCCTGGTGCCCTGAGCATACCCAACTCCTTCATTGTTGGAGGGCCCTATGAGGATGAGGATGGAGAGCTCACCAAAAGCGAGGTGAGGAAGGACTGGCAGGGTCACAGATGGAACTGAACCAGCAGGGACTGAGAAAGATTTGTTATGAGGAGGTGGTTGGTCAGTCCCCTGTGCAGTGTCCAGGCACGGAGATGGTTCCCCTGGGACAGCAGGCGTGCAGATTCACTGCAGGAGAGATCCTGAGGGGCTGTGTGGCAGGTCTGGTCCCCAAAAACCACCCACACTGAGCTGCTGGGCTGGGAGTTGTGTTATGTGCTGTGAGCCAGGCTCTTAACACTGATGGTGTCTGCAGGAAGGGCTGCTGGCTTCTCTGCTGGGCTGGCCTGGCTATGGGGACTTGGACACCTCTGTCTGACTCACATGCTCTCCCAGGGAACATTTCTGGGGACGATGCAGGCTGTGGATTGCTGGCTCTGACTGGACTGTGGAGCCCTGGCTCTGACTGCATGCTGTTTATCACAGGATATGGAATTCAGGATCCAAGCAGAAAGCACAAAGAGGATCGTCTGGGACGTGGAAAGGCGCTGTTACCTGGATGCTGCTGCAGTAGCTGTGTAAGGGACCTGAGGAAACCACCCCAGAACATGCTCAGATGAGTGACCTGAGGCTGGGAGCAGCAACATGCAGGTGGTCTCAGACCTCCTGCAGGTCAAACTGTGGCTGTGCCTCACCTCCCGTGGCTCCTGTTGGCCTGAGCAAGGGAGCAGCTTTGAACTGCCTTGAACTGCTGTGCTGGGAGAAGGTGGAGAAGCTGGAGCTGCTGTCTCAAGGCCACAAATGCTCATTCCTGTTGCCAGCAACTGGGGCTGGGGACTCTTTGAAAGAAGGGGCAGCAGTTATGGTGAGCAGGCATGGAGTAGGGTAGGGTGGCCCACACAGCTCTCCTCTGAGCTGCTAATTAAATTTTACTGAATTTTCAATACATTAAAAACTTTCACTCCATGTGGGCACTCCTCATTTGCTTTTTTATTGGACAATCATTACCTTTAGCAGCTCCAATATGCTCAAGATCAGGCAAAGTGTTCCATTTCTCTTTGAATCCTTCTATTTTCTTGGCCTCAGCTGCATCATGGCTGTAAATTTCACAGCAAAATTACTCCTTGCGTAGAAATATTCCCTTCTATTTCATTTGATTTTTAAAATTCTTTTCCCTACATGTCTCTTGGTTTCAGAGTCACCATCCACATTGCATGGGAGCTCAGGGTCTGCTTGCTCTGTGCAGTTCAGGATTTACACCAAAGTTAACCACGCTCCTTCTTGCTTGTTTTATTTCTGAAGTAACCAGGGGAGAGAGAAAACTGAGTGTGTCACTCTCTCACTTGTTTTATAGCTGGTTGTGCCATAAGTGAAAACAGCAGTGGGTGGAGGGGAAAATGTCCCCAGCTGCCCCAAAGCACACATGTTCCTGTGGCCTGGGGGTGTTTGCTGTGGGCCTGGGTTGAAGCAAGCTCAAGAGGGGCTGCTGGGGCAGAAAGGAGGGTGGTGAGGCTCTGCAGCCTGGTTTGTGCATGCCCTGATCCCTGCTTTGTGCCCAGGCTGCAGAAGCGCATCGCGGAGTGTCGGTACTGGCCCGTGGAGCTCTGCAGGGTGTCCACGGCCCCAGCCAGCAAAGGCAAAGCTAGCAAAGCTGACAAGGTAACAGTGGGGAGGGGTATGCATTTTCCTTTTGATGCCTTTGTGATACCAAAACCAGCCTCGAACCGGCCAAAGCAAGTCAGAGAGCAGGAGGCTTTGTAAAAAATCCCATTTACAGAGCTGTTAAATAGACAAAGGGTCATGTTTTTTCCTTATAGCATACAGAGCTCTCACTGGTGGTCTGTGGCAGCTGGGTGGAAAGAGGTCAGGGGAAGGGTGCTTTTTAGAATCACAGAATCCCAGAATGGTTTGGGTTGGAAGGAACCTCAAAGTCCATCTCATTCCCACACCCTGCCATGGGCAGGGACACCTTCCACTAGACCAGGCTGCTCAGAGGCTTGTCCAGCCTGGCCTTGAAGAGAATGAAGGTAATTCACTGAGCTTATCTTTGGCCAATGGTGCTTTGGAACATCTTGAAGAAGTTCATGCCTTCTTTCTTGGGCTGTAGGTAAGTTATGATTTTGGACCTAAACCAGGGTGATTTAAAAGAGGAACAGCCCCTTAGCTAATGGTTCCATTCCTGGCAGCTGGTAGTGTGAGAGCTCCTAATCTGTTCCACAGTAAATTCATATAAATTGGTGTAAATTGCTTTCAGCACTCACCAGGGCCAAGATTTTGCAGTCACCTGGTTTCTGTCCAGCCCAAGATGCACAGGGTAGGGTTTCTAACCACACAGCTGCTAACTTTGCAGCTGTATCTCAACAAGACCATACTGAAGAATAGCAGAGTGCAGGAGTCAGAGAGAAAAGCTGCCCCACAGGGTTTGGGATGAAATTAATATTCTACATATGGAATGACTCCAGTGTATTCATCCAGGTTGTCTCGGCTGTGTGCCAGTGACAGAGAGCCTCTGGCTCATCAGGTGCTTCAGTTTGCTGTGTGGCCTCTTCTTAATGGGATCAGTGACCCTGTTTCCCTGAGGAGGATAACAGTCTGTTCAGTATCTCAGTCCCTTCTCTGTGTTTCCAGGGAGATGAAACACAGATTTCCTTCCATGGTGTGGCATATGTCAACATGCTGCCTTTGCTGTGCCCTGGTGTGAAGGAGATCCGAGGAGCTTTCCGTGTCTTTGGCTACCAAGACAGTGAGGTGTTTGAGAAGGTGAGAGCAGCCAGGCAGCCAGAGCTCCAGCTCTGCAGCTGGGTTTGCACAGAGAGGTTGGGAGTGGACAGCGTGGGCAGGGGGGTGTTTGGGAACAGGCGTCATGGCCAGGGGACTGTTTGGGAGTAGGCAGCATGGGCAGGGGGGTGTTGGGGAGCAGACAGAGTGGGCAGAAGGTGTTGGGGAGCAGACAGAGTGGGCAGGGGGGTGTTTGGGAGGAGACAGAGTGGGCAGGGGGGTGTTTGGGAGGAGACAGAGTGGGCAGGAGGTGTTTGGGTGCAAGGAGCATGGGCAGTGGGGTACTTGAAACTGGATCTGAACCTTCACTGCTCTTCTGGTGATGGAGAAAAATAGTGATAAAAGCTCTTAGGTGCGGATTTCTCCAAGGCAGGGAATTTCTGGGGGTGTGTGAGCAGGTCTGGGGGCTTAGAGAGGCTTTGAATCTCACTCCACTCCCCCCTCTGCCATCAGCTGAGAGCTGTAAGAATGCTCCTCTCTCCCCAGTCTGGGCAAATGAACTGTGTTGCTGGGAAGAGCAAACAGTGGCTTTAAAAGGATTGCGTTACCCCAGGCAACCACAAAAAAGCTGTCACTGGGGCTCTTTCAGCTCTGGCTCACCGAGGTTTATTTTTCTTTGCATTTCTCCCTCTCTGTTACTAAGAGTGACAGTTACATCTCCATTTTCCCACCCTCCTGGAACAGACCTGAGCTTGTTTCAGGAGGGCAGATGCACAGCCTGGTTTTACCACCCACGTTCCCTGTGGTCCAGGCGCAGGAGCCGGGTGAATTCCAGCCCTTCTGCTGTCTCCCTGCTCCCACTGGCTGCTGTAGGGCAGGGCTGGGCACACAGCTGTCGGCTGGGCTCTGCTTCCCCATAGTGAATGACAGCATCTTGGCTGTGTGGTGTTGCTTGTCCTGTGGCATCTGTCACAAGTGAAGTCCTTCTCATTCCTCGGTGTTATGGATGCTTTTGGCTGCCTCGTGGTCTAGGCAGTCTCCATACAGCTGCTCCATCCCTTCCCCAGGATCCCCATAATTCTTGCAAGCCCAATTCCTATAACCATGATGGGGGAACAGCCTGTCTAGGCAGTCAAATGCTGTGTAAACACAGCCTGACAAACCTATTTCTTGCCATTCCCTGTTGTGTGTCAGGGAAGCTGCTCCACACTGGGTGAGCTGAGAGCTGAGAGTTCCTGCCAGGCAGGTGAGGGCACCCAAAAGTTTGCAGAGCAGATGTGGTGAGGGCAGCCAGATTCCTCTAACAATCCACATCACCAGGCAAGTCCATGAGTCAGGTCTAGGATCCAGCCAGGAGTTGTGTCAGGATCATAGAGCTGGGTTCCAGCTTGTCTACCACATAGCTCAGGCAAGGATCAAGGGCCAGTTCTCAGTGAAAACACAAATCTTGAGAGAAGATGGAAAGACCCTGCTGAGTCTCACAGCTACATGGGATCAGGGCTGGCCTGGAGCATTGGCAACTGAACTTCTAGGGGAGGAGAATGAGGTTGCAAAGCTTCTTAATGCATTTAAGACCCTGATGATGTGTTTTGTGATGTGAGGGGTTAAGGCAAAGGGGTGAGGAGAAGTCTACTTTGTCCCTTGATTCTCTCTGTTCCCTCTTTTTTTCAGACCAAAAGTCAGCACAGTATTTTCTGGGAACTCAAGTCACATCTCAGTCTGCTCAAGGAAGGGCTGGGGACCCCTCCCCTTCCCAGTAAGACTCAGAAGGAAGACAAAGATTCCAACAGAACGGTAAGGTCTTGGGAGGCACATTGCACTGTGATTGCTCTGCTCCCACATCAGGGGTAGTTGGGGCATGCAGGAATCAGGGGTGGATGCAGGAACCAGGGATGGAACTGTGTTGCCTCAGCCAGCTAAGAGATACTGTCACAGAATCACAGAATTTCCTCCCCTGGAAGGGACCCACAAGGATCATCGAGTCCAACCCCTGCACAGGACACCCCAACAATCCCACTCTGTCCAATCTCTCCTTGAGCTCTGGCAGCCTTGGGGCTGTGCCCACTGCCCTGGGGAGCCTGGTCAGTGCCCAACCACCCTCTGGGGGAAGAACCTTCTCCTTATATCCAGCCTAACCCTGCCCTGACACAGCTCCAGCCATTCCCTTGGGTCCTGGCACTGGTCACAGAGAGCAGAGGTCAGTGCTGCCTTTCCCTCATGAGGAATCTGCAGACCCTGAGGAGGTCTCTCCTAACCTGAAATCTTAGCACTGAACAAAGGTACCATCTCACACACTGAACTTCCAAAGATATGAGATCTATGGAGACTGAAACAAGAGACATCTTTTTCTGAATCATTACAGAGCCCATCCAAAATCCAGTTGTCAGATGGCACTGGAGGACCTGAAAGTACCAGAATTTGCAGCGTTGATGGACAGGTAATTATGTTTCTCCAAAGAGAAGGAGATGCTAGAGCATCACTGTGCTGGTGTCTCACACCTTCCACACAACTCAATTCCTTAAGAGTGAGTTGGACAAGGGATATTTCACATAGATGCTGTCCCAGAGTTCTTCCAGTGATGTCCAGCTGGAGATCAGACAAGCATTGGGCCAGAAGGTCTCTGTAAATTATCAGGCATTTATTTAAAAGGGTTCCTTCATATTTTGGCTTCTTCCTCTGAATGCACATTCATTCTGCAGGCAGATTGATTGTCCGGGCTCTCTCCTTTTTCCTAACCTGTTTTCTTGAGCTGAATTTTGCTGCTGTAACTCATTCTGAGGGCGAGCCATAAAACAAGCTGTATCTCTGCAGTCTGGAGATCTGCAGCTGTATGCTCAGTATTTCATCGTGCCAGGAAGGCTCCAGACAGCACGACAGTGAGAGCAATGTTTATCTTCACAGCAATACAGTGAGGCAGGAACGTTCCTGGTGCTGGAGATAAAGCTGGACAAGGCCTTGGTCCCCAAGCGGCTGCGGGAGGAGCTCACCCGCCGGTGCGTGAGGAGGGGCTGTGCCTGGGGCTGAGGGCTCATTTCTGCAGGGTGGGAAGGGGGCTGCACGGAAAGCTCCCCCCTGGAATGCTCTGCAAGGACCAACCCAGGCCATGAGACAAAGCCCACGGGAATCAGGGGGAGGATTTAGCCAAACTGCTTCAGAAGTGGCATCTGGTGTGTTGGGAAAACACTTGTTCATCCCAGCTGGCATCTCCCTGCCGTTCCTCTCGAAACAAGAGACAGCAGAGCAGCACAGCAGTGTCTGTGTTCCTGTCTGGGCTTTGTTTCCCACTAATCCCTGTGTGCTTGCCTTTCACCTGTGAGTCCTGGCCACCAGCATGGACTGTCCGGGGTAGTACTGCTGTAACTTCACCAGAACATTCTGTCATCTTTACCTTTTCAGAAGTTTTCTCGCAATGTTTTACTCGATTTTTGGCTTTTATGTTAGTTTTCATGTTGTTCTGCTGCTCTTTCATCTCTGCTACTTTGAGTCTTCCACTGTCTGTTTGATTTGAGGCAGTTCCTCCCTGCTGTGTTATGGGCTAGGAAAGGACCAGCACATCTCATTTATTGAGTAAAAAAACAGAAGATGCAGCAAATGAATAAAATATAAAAAGTCCAGATCTGTGTCTCTCTCAAACAGAAGTATCAGCCATTCTTTGAAGGGAGAGTATGTGTGTTGTCCTCTGTGCTGCCTACTGTCTTCCAGGAGGAACAGGTTGAGGAAGGTGAATCCCCCTTAGAACAGACCTTTCCTGGCCTTTTTTATACCATTTCTAGTGCAATGGATGTGAGTTCAGGGTAACTCCTCATTCACCTGCTGTGTGCAGCTGAATGAGGCATGTGGCACCTTGGCTCATTGGGTTATAAGGTCTGAGAGTTTCCAGCAAGCAGGAAATGTTGATAAAATCTCAATGAATTAAGGCTGTTTTGGCACCAAGGATTTTAATTCCACAATCTCACAGTAGTTCTGGTTGGAAGGGACCATTGGAGGTCACCTAGTCTGACCTCCCTGCTCAAGCAGTGTCCCCCAGAGCAGGTTACTCAGGGTCATGTCCAGACGCCTTTTCAATATCTCCAGGGAGGGAGACTCCACAGATGCTCCTGTGCCTGTGCTCAGTCACCCTCACCTTGATAAATCTTAGTAAAACTTATAGTAACCCTAATGAAAGGTGTAATGTAACTAATGTAACTCCAGTAGTGGCCCAGACAGGGTTGGTGTGGTGTCTGGGGGTAGGTGGTCTAAGGTTGGTGTCTGGTGTCAGTCTGTGACCAGGGGATGAGGTGCCATAGCTGCACTGTGTGATGTTGGGAACTGATGGATCAGGTGACTTGGGTTGTACAGTGATCAAATTTTTCAGAGCTTTCCTCAGGTTGGTTCCTTCCTTACAGCTGTTCTGGCAGAGCAGGAGCTGATCTGCTGCTCCAGCAGTGTTTTTGATTGCCAGCAATAAATGTTAACCCTTGTTGTAGGGATCTGGCCTTGACAGTTCACTGTTGGTCTGGCATCAGTTTTCCTCCCAGGTCCCTGTGAGGTGTCTCAGGGACACGATGGCAGGTTGGAGCCCTCGCACTGCACGCTGCCTGTGGCCACAACAGGCTGACTTCCCTGGCAGTGTATCTGGCTGATCTCTTCTGTGCTCTCATTAACAGGGTCAAGGAGATGATTCCTTCTCGCCCTGCACTGCCTGCCCAGACTGAAGGAGCCAAGAAGGTACGTGCAAGAGTGTGTGACCTTGCCACCACTCTGCCACCCATCCTGCCCTCATTCCTCTCACACAGGAGAGTCTTCATTCTCAACCTGCAGCAACATGTAGATGAGGTTTGAAGAAGATGATGGTGCAAAGCCACGAAGATGGTGGAGGGTCTAGAGGGGAATAGAGCCATATAAGGAGTGGATGAGGTCACTTGCTGTGTTCAGCTGGAGATGTGGAGACTGAGGTCAGACCTCATTGGAGTCTGCAGCTTCCTCAGGAGGGGCAGTGGGAGGGGCAGCTCCAATCTCTGCTCCCTGTGACCAGGGACAGCACCCCAGGGAACAGCTGGAGCTGTGCCAGGGCAGGGTTAGGTTGGATCTCAGGAAAAGGTTCTTCCCTCAGAGGGTGGTTGGGCATTCAACAGGCTCCCCAGGGCAGTGGGCACAGGCTCAAGGCTGACAGAGCTCAAGGAGTGTTTGGACAATGCTCTCAGGGACAGGGTGGGATTGTTGGGGTGTCTGTGCAGGATCAGGGGTTGGACTTCATGATCCTTGTGGGTCCCTTCCCACTTGGGATATTCTGTGATTCTACAATTCCATGAAATACCCAGAAAAGGAAACTTCTGGCTGTGTTATCTCCATGCTAGTGTGCCCTGGGAAATCATTCCTGGGGTACATCGCTCGTGTTCACAGCCCATACAAAGGGAAGAGATGGAGCAAAGGAGGGAAGGCAGCAGTGAGGGGATGTTTGGAAGGAAATGGGATGCTGGGGAAAGAGGCTACCAGAGCCTAATGTTTGCCCTGGGCAGTGCCAACAGTTTCTTGTCTCTGATTAGCCCATGTGCTTCATCAGACTCAGACAAACATGAATCAGCCCTGACCACTCTCAGGTCACCCAGAATTCCTGAGGACCAAGACTATGGAGATTACAGGCTCTGCTGAAGAAGGCTGGCTCCTGGCCTTAAAGGCTCCCAGTAAATGAGATATATTTTACTCACAGACAGTTATATTGCTATAGAAGAGACAGCAATTACTGAAATACTGGGTTCTTATTAAAAAAATCTTGCAGGAAGGAGCTCTTTTGTGTTTACCTGTAGATATTTTCTCAGCCCTCAGGCGTGGACAGGGAAGGATGTGACAGACTAATTGAGTCAGGTGGAGTTAATGGGAGGCGTGGGCTGTGCCAAATCAAATACATATCAAGGCTGATTGCATAAGTGACTTGTGAAAGTTAATTAATTAATTTCCTAGGTGGTGGAAGATTATCACAAACGTGTCACGAGCGTTGCCAATGCCATCCTGAGTGAATACCACAAGCTCTTTGGGAAGCAGCTGCCTGACCAGGGAGCAATAGACCACCAAACCCTGGAGGAACAGAAGCGTCAGCTCAACTATGAGCTCAACACCTCTGGGAAATATTTTGCTTTTAAGGAACAGCTAAAGGTAAAGGCTCATTTGTGCTGTTCTGTCCCAGCAGTTTTTCAGTGAGGAACTGCTGCTCCATGGTGGTAACTCAGGATGATGTGGTGTTCCAGAATCCCCTCCTGCCACTCAGAGCTGTTACAACAGGCACTGGGGGGACAGGATTCACCTCTAATGGAGGAGGTACCAAGCTGCTTTGGTCCCACACCTGGAGAACACTCCCTATGAATGGGAGCCCCATGCTCATAACCTGAGGAAGGCAAAGCTGATATCTCACACACCCCACAGTCTGCCCTGGCAGGAAAAGGGAGTTCCCCTCTCTCAGCTGCTCAACTCTGGCTATGCTCTGACCAGAGACCCCCTCTCTGTGCCAAGGGGATGAGGCTTCCACATGCTGTCCCTAAAGGAGCACCAGAATGTCAGGGAGGTGGGGAAGGAATTCCCTCTGCTTGCTTTTTTTTCACTTTTAACAGTGCTGGGCTGGATTTATTCCTCAGAACTAAGTTGGAGCTTCAGGCAAAATCAGTGTGTTCTGGCTCCTTCTGATAACGGAGCTGGTGGGGGGCACAGGGAGGACCTTCCTTGTCCAACAGTCCCATGTCTCCACAGTATCCTGTGGTGAAGATTGTGAGGGAGAAATACCTGAAGACCACAGCATTTGAGACCCAGGAGGAGCTCCAGGCATTCCTCAGTGAGCTCTACGTGTACCTCGTGGAACAGATGCACGTTGCCCTGAACCAGGTAAGGAGAAACCTGGGGCACTTGGGCCACGACTTCACTGTGAATCCAGGGCAGGTGAAGGACTGTTGCCTTCAAGACAGAAGCAGGCTCATGTTTCCATTTCTGCAGTTATCACACATGGGCCCCAAGCCACACTCAAGGCAGGGTCCAGTGCATCTGTATCCTGCTGCTACGAAATCCTGATGGTGGCATACATGTGAGATGCCACTTGTAAAGCTGCTGTAGCTGGTGGCTGGGTTTGTGCCTCTTGCCACTCACCTGGGCAGAGCACAGACCTCCAGCAGGAGCTGGGGTCACCAGTGAGTGGCACCACAGAAGCTTGACATCACTGTAAATAATCATAGAAACATGGCATAGTTCGGGTTGGAAAGGACTTTAAAGCTTGTTTTACCCCCTGCCATTGTCAGGGACACCTTCCACTAGCCCAGGTTGTTCCAACCCCGTCCAACCTGGCCTTGGACACTTCCATAGATGGGGCAGCCACAGCTTCTCTGGGCAACCTGTGCCAGGGCCTGACCATCCTCACGGGGAAGAATTTCTTCCCAATATCCCATCTAACCCTGCTCTTTGGCAGTGGGAAGCCATTCCCCCTTGTTGTGCCTGTCCATGCCCTTGTAAAAATGGACATTGCCCTGTTCCTGTGTGGCAGAGGTACCTCAGAGTGACAGGAATGTGCCCCACCACAAAGAGCAGCTGGGACAGCTTGCCTTTCCCTGGTGTCCAGCCCCAGCCATACTGGTCTGTACTGGGTGCAGTGCTGGACTGGGATCACATGAACCATTCTTCCCCTCCCCAGTAACACTGTCTTGCTCCCTACCAGCTCCTCTCTGAGGAAGGTGCTTCTCCCGCCCCTCCATCCCGCACCACCCAGGAGCAGCTCGGGCTCTTTGCTCGCGAAGCTGAAGCCAACAAGGACTACAAACTGGCCTCTCTGTACCACCAGCAGGTAAAGGAGCCTCTGTCCTTCCCTGCCCATGTCCCCTGTGTCTGTGCTGGCAGCAGTGTGGGGCCACTGGTGACAGCTCAGCCAGCCTGGACTGTGGTGTAGGGAGGAAGGAGCTGAACGTGACCGGGATACTCAGACTGGAATGGGAAGGATTTTCCAGGGAAATGCTGCTCTCTGCAGGATGTGTGACTATCCCTGGCCAGGTCGCTAAGGACTCATACATATGAGTATTGTCCATTCTTGAAGCTTGACAGAGCTCAAGAAGCGTTGGGACAATTTTTTCGGGCACAGGGTGTGACTCTTGGGGATGGTTCCTGTGCAGGGCCAGGAGTTGGACTCGATGATCCTCATGGGTCCCTTCCAACTTGGCATATTCTGTGATCCTGTGACTCCAGCCTCAAGGCCAGGGGAAATGGGATGAGCTGGTCCAAGAGGCTTGCTGGGGACACTGAGCCCTTGGAGGGGGTCAGCTGGAGCTGGAGGGTATGGGTTAGGTGGAGGAACCTTAGAGGAAGTGGGCTTCCAGCACCATCCCAATTAAGGGACACCCTCACATGTGATAGGCAAGGGCTTGATTCCTGCCAAACTGGGCTGGGGTGGTCAAGAAAGTCCTGATCTCTGTTGTCTAGAGGATAACTCAGGACCAGCACAACATCCAGGCCTGGCTGGACTATGGAGCCTTCTGCCTCCTGCACGAGGACACCACCAAAGCCCAGGAATGCTTCCAGCAGGCTCTTTCTGTGGATCTCCAGCACGTCCAAAGGTGCTGAGTGCTCCCAGTGGGTTGGTGGGAAGGTGGGGGGTGTCCCTCACACCACTACCTGGGCCCTGCAAGGCTGACTGGCCCCTCTTGCCCCAGTTTGCTGCTCTGTGGGATCGGGGCTGTCATGCTGCAGCACTATGAGGATGCAGAGGTTTTCTTTGAGGATGCCTGCTGCTTGGAGCCATCCAGCATCGTAGCCTGGACCCTCTCAGGTACAAAGCCAAGCCTACCTGGTCCTCCAGATGTTCCTGTAGAGCCAAGCATTTGTCCTGCCCCCAATCCTCTTCTCCTTGCTCCAATCTGAGAGCTAAGGCAAAGATTTTGCTAAGGGTCAGGTGTCTGCTTGTGCCCTCTGTCTGTCTCCCACAGGTTTGTTTTATGAGCTGCAGAATAATAATGTTCAGGCAGAGAGGAACTTCCGTGAGGCCAAGAAGCTCCTGCAAGCACAGCTCAGTGAGGAGAGAAGAATCCCCGAGGCTGCTGAGGGAGGAGAAGGGAAAAAGGACATTTCTCCCAGCACAGACCCAGAGGAATTCTTGCCAGGTAATGCTGGGCAAACCCAGGAGGTGCCCTGGCACCAGCAAGGAGGGGCTTGGAGCTGTGTGGGATGTGGTAAATGGTGGAAGGAGGGGAATTTCTAAGAGGAGAAATACAAAGGGCGAAGGAAGAAGATGTGGACTGTGAACTGGAGTAGAATTCCATGAAAGCTGTTGCTGTGAGTTCCCAACACAGCTTGGAAAGCTCTGCCTCACCAATTCAAAGAGCAAACCAGCAGCTTCCTCTGGAGCCTTGCTGAGTCCAGCCTGAGCTGAGACTGTCCTGAGTCCCAAATGTTTGGCCAGGCTGCAGGAAATGCTGGCTGGCTTTTTTTTTAATGTTGTCACTACTCCATGCACAGTGCCTCAGGCCAGCAGGCTCATGTCATGTGTGGTTTTTGGTCCCTTCTGATTATGAGGGAAGGGATATTCATAGAATCATGGAATCACTAAGGTTGGAAAAGGCCTCCAAGATCATTAAGTCCACCTGTTAACACAGCACCACCATGTTCCCCACTAAACCATGTTCCCAAGTGCCACATCCATATGGCTTTTGAACACTTCCAGGGATGGTGACTCCACCACTGCCCTGGGCAGGCCAGGGCCTGACCATTCTTTTAGTGAAGAAATTTTCCCTAATATCCAACATAAACCTCCCCTGGCACAATTGGAGGCCATTTCCTCTCATCCTGCCTCATTTATACCTGTTTCTGGCTTCACATGGTAACCTTGTACTCAAAACCCCAGCCCCAGGTATTGCCTCCTGTGAAGAAATTTCTTCCCACCTTTGAAAATCTGATACATCTTTTATATTTTCTCTCTTCCCCATTTCTTGTGGAATCATGCTCCCAACTGGGCAGTTTATGGCAAACCCTTTCCAAATAATGGTTGTTGGGGGTTTCATTCCAGAGGGGGTTCCAGATGGCTCAGCTGACAAACTTTCAGAAGTGGTGGAGCCTGCCCTGGCCTGTGTGACATCCAAGGAAGAGGCTGTGGCACCAGACACAGCCCTGGAAGGTCAGGGAGTGGGGACCTGGTGTGCAAGGGAGAGCCCAGTGCTGGGAGATGGCCTTGTGGGATCACTGGGGAGTCATGTGGGAGCAGGGAGCTGTGCATGTCACAACACCAAGGCCTGTTCTCTCTCCCTAGCCAGGGAATCTCCAGGCAAAGCAGGTTCATCCCAATTTTCAGAGCAGCACATCTCAGGATGGACAGCCTGAATGCAGCTCTCTCTCTCTCATGTCATGTACCCAATGGCCTTCCTCTGCTGTTGGAATGTCTCTCTTCTGGGATGCCTGCTCTTAAACTGTCCCTATGGATCTCCTCTGGTCCTGTGGTGTGTGATCTGCCTCCTCCACAGCTCCACTCCCCAGTGGATGGTGGACATGGCAGTGCCAGGTGCCTCAGGGCCCCTGGTTGGTTTGGGGAGGCAAGACCCTCACTGAAGTTGTTTTTGACAAGCATCGTTCATAAATTCCCACCTTTTCCTCTGAATTTGGACTGGAAAATCAGTGGATCAAGAACATTACTTCTTTTTAGATCTCATACAAAACTTAAGCCCTTCAGAAAGAAATGCTGAGTTAATTTCTGCTTCAGCCTCCCCTGCCACCTCCTGGGTTTTACACCATATTACTGGGATTCCTCTGTCCCCACCAGGATCTCAGGCCCTGCTCTGCCTCCAGAAATAAATCCCCCACTTAGGGACTGACAGAGACACGTCTTCTTGCAGCACCATCCCTTGATTCAGGATCTCACCAACCTCCCTGCACAGTCTTCATGAAGGCAGTGGAATTCCTGATGAAAGTCAATGCTATCCAGGTCAGCTTAACAGGGAGTGGAGGAGTGGGAAGGGAGGTTGGTTTATTCCCAAAAAGCTGGTGGCATCTTCAGTCAGCCTTGTTTCCTGGGCTCAGGGAACGAGCTGTGGCCACTCCAGATGCTGAGCACAAGAGGGAGCAACGCCACCACTGCCCAGAGATGCAAAACTGTGGCTAGGGAGAGCATTCAGCCCAAAATGCTGGTTGTGGACGCAGCCATCTCGGGCAGGTGAGGCCCTCAGGAGGCCTCAGCCCAGCACTGCCTGCTGCAGAGGGAACAACCAGCTCAGAAATGGTGCAGTGTGCTCCTCTCTGTACATTCAGAGGCAGGAGCCATTATTGTGATGTTTCCAAGACACCAGAACCCCTATGATTCAGCTCCTTGTGTGTGTCAGAGTAATTTTTGTTCACCTATGGAATGTCCCTGTCCCACACAGTTATCTCTGGGGTCTCTCTGATTGTCATGTTATGCTGCCTGCCTAAATTCTACATGGCAGAATGAGTTGGTTAAAGCAAAACAGAAGTAATCATGGAATGGTTTGGGTTGGAAGGGACATTCAGGTTCATCTCATTCCAATCCCCTGCTATGGGCAGGGACACCTTCCATTAGACCAGGGACACCTTTCATTAGACCAACATTCAAAAGAGGGAAAAAAAAAATCTCCCATGTGTTTTCTGTTCATGGAAGTTAAACAGGTTGTCTGTCAGCCCCCTGCCCTGTCCTTCTGGTGTGCCCGTGGTTTCCCTGCTCCCCTGACCACCACCTGTGCCCTTCCTCCCCAGTTTGTTCACAAGGCACTGGCCCACGAGCTGCTGAGCCCCCAGGGAGGCCCCAGCTGTGGGTATTACCTGGCACTGGCCCGGACATATCTGCTGCAGGAAGATGTCCCCAGATGTGAGCAGTGTCTGCAGGAGGCCGTTCGGATTGACTGCACGGTAATGCCACGTGTGTCCCTGGGGGGCTGCAGCAGGACCCCACCCAAACACTGCAGCCACCTGTGCTGGTGGGTGTGTGAACCCAGAGCTTCGTTTCCACTTTACAATTCAATGTTAGTCCACAGCAGTTTCAGCAGGGAGGGCAGTCACACCAGGCTGTGGCTGCAGCCCTGCCCTCCCTGTTATCCTATTCATTCCTGGCCTCCTGTCACCTCCTGCACAGACAGGCAGCATCTCTGAGCCTGTCTCTGCCTTTCCCTCTGCAGTGTCTGCCTTTCTTTTCCCTTTGGGTGGGTATATCCTGATCTCATTTCTCTTGGTGCATGAGCCAGGCTCTGTTTTGTGAGAAACAAGGTTGCTATTCAGCAGAGAGGGAAGGTGGCTCTGGGGAGGCAGGTTCAACAGAAGGAGGGAGGAAGGTGACACCTCGGAATGCTCTGTGGCTGCTGACTGTACCTGGGAGCCTTGTGCAGGCCAGGACACTGGGCAGGGAGCTGGAGGGGGAATCCCATGGTTGGTGTCCTGTAGGCAGCCCACCAACTTCAACTCTGTGTGTAAAACCTGCCCTGCTATCATCGAATCATGGAATTGTTTAGGCTGGAAAAGCCCTCTAAGATCATTGAGACCAACCGTTCCCCCAGCACTGCCACGTTCACAACTAAACCATGTCCCCAAGTGGCACATCCACATGGCTTTTAAATCCCTCCAGGGATGGGGACTCCACCATACCCTGGGCAGCTGTGCCAGGGCTGGACAGCCCTTTCGGTGAAGAAATTTCCCCAGTATCCAATGTGGTGCAATTTGAGACCATTTCTTCTTGTCCTGTCCCTTGTTCCCTGGGAGCAGAGCCCGACCCCCCCCAGCTCCCCCCTCCTGTCAGGGAGTTGCAGAGCCAGAAGGTCCCCCCTGAGCCTCCTTTTCTCCAGGCTGAGCCCCCCCCAGCTCCCTCAGCCACTCCTGCTGCTCCAGCCCCTTCCCCAGCTCCGTTCCCTTCCCTGGACACGCTCCAACCCCTCAATATCTGTCTTATTGTGGGGGGCCCAAAACTGCCCCCAGGGCTGGAGGTGCCTCGGCAGTGCCAGCACAGGGGGAATTCACTGCTCTGCTCCTGCTGGTACAGCCCAGGGGCCATTGGCCTTCTTGCCCACCTGGGCACCCCTGGGCTCATGTTCAGCTGCTGCCAACTGGCACCTCTAGGTTCTTTCCCTCTCTCCCCTGGAGAGCCTGGAGTGCTGCAGGGGGTTGTTGTGATAATATAATTAAACACTGCTCAGCTCCTCCTTTCTGCTGCTTACAGGTGTCCCAGCTCTCCTCCCAGGTGTTTCTCTTTCCTGTCTCCCATCCCTGTCTCACTCCTGGTTTTGTGTGCACAGAACCCAAATGTCTGGGCTCAGAAAGGACACCTGTGGTACCTGAAGGGGGACTGTGGCCAGGCAAAGGAGTGCTATGAGCGAGTGGTCAGTTTTGTGGAGGATGCTGTGGACATGCACTTTGTCTACCTGCGCCTGGGCTCCATCTACCTGGAAGAGAAAGAGGTGAGGAGCCAGCAGGAGTGGTGGAGGGGAAGTTACCACAAAGCAAGTTGCTCCCCCAGCAGCTGTGGGGAGAGTGTGTGTCTGAGTCCCACTGGAGATGGGGTGTTTGGCAAATCCCTGAGGAGGGGGGGCTGCCTGTGATGTGCTGATGCAGAAGCATGGCTCTCTCTCCCCTGGCAGTATGGCCGGGCCAGGCAGATCTACCTGCTCGCCTGTGACAACTCTGCATCCTGTCTCACATGGCTGGGGGTGGGGATTGCCTGCTACAGGGTAAGTGCCACTGCCTTCATGTCATCTGTGCTTTAATCAGTGCCATGGCATGGGACACAGGGCTTTTGCACGATCCCCTGGATTTAAGTAAAGCTTGGCTGCCTGTGACCCGTGGCTCCACAGGCCATCATGTCCTGTGCACTGTCACAGTCCTGCTGTGGCACCCGGGCTGCTCAGATGGGCTGTGTCACTGCTCAGCACCTGCTCTGGGAGCAGACAGCCTTCCCCCTCATCCCAGCTCCAGCCAGAACCTCCTTCCCCAGGGTGGCATGGCAAGCAGTCTGGGCTCTGCTCCCAGTGCCTGCCTGCACATGACCTGCGTGTCACCACCAAGGAACTGAGGGGGATGTCAGTAGGGAGGAATCTCAGTGCTTTCCCAAGGGAATCCAGCACATCTGAGGGGCTGCCAAGGACACCCAGCCACCAGCAGCGTGGTATCTCCCCAAGGAACACCTCACCAGGTTCCTCAAAGGGAGTTTGGCCAAGGGAAGCAACCAGGGAAGGAACTTGAACTTCTGTTTCCCCCTTGGCCAAATGTGCAATTCCTGAGGGGCTGTGGAATCGGGCCAGGGAAGTGCAGCCCACCAGGCACCAGCTACCCCTGCCTGCCTGGACCTGCTGCACAGCAGGAATAGGGAGCAGGAGCACAGCCATGTTTCCTCATGGAGCTGGATCACTCAGTTCCTGGAGGTGAAGGTGTTTATGCTGCTTTCCTTTTAGCTGGAGGCTGATTTGAAAATAGTGGGTGATCCCATGGGGGTCAGCAGTGGGAAGTTTGTTCTCCAGACTGGAGAGCTGGATGCTGGCACTGAGGATGACTGCTTGTCTCTGTCCTAAATCCTTTCCCTGCGTCCCTATCAGGGGAACCCTGCTAGGAGCTTTTGATGCACTGATTTCTTCTGCTGTTAGAGCAATGGCTGTTCACTTCTGAAGCTCCTTCTGCCTTTTGTCCATGCCTCTCCTTGTCTCCCTCAAGCTGGGAGAGCTGGTGGAAGCAGAAGATGCTCTCTCTGAAGCCAATGCCCTAGATAACACCAACGCTGAAGTGTGGGGATATCTTGCCCTCATCTGTCTGCGAGTGAGTGCCCAGCCCCGGCCAGCCCGATGGGGAGGGGGGTTTTCAGGGGTTTATTGGGGGGTTTATTGGCATCTGCTCACAAACCCGAAGATTATGGTGTAGAGCTCAGTGGTAAAAAGTCTGGGGGCAGTGCTTGGGGAAAGCAAAGTGTTCAGATGGCAAAGGCAGAGCCCTTCCTTGCTTCTTGTCATCCCCTGGGGCATGTCCTCCCTGCTGAGCTTCTTACAAATGTCCCTTCTTTGAGATCTTGTACCTTTCCTGGGGAAGGGGCACTGCCGAGGCACCTCCAGTCCCGGGGGCAGTTCTGGGCCCCTCACGACTGGAGGGGGAAGCCTGGGGAGGTCGGGCTCTGCTCCCAGGGAACAAGGGACAGGACCAGAGGAAATGGCCTCCAATTGTGTGGAGGTTTAGATTGGATATGGGGGAAATTTCTTCCCTGAAAGGGTGGTCAGGCCCTGGCACAGCTGCCCAGGGCTGTGGTGGGGTCACCATCCGTGCAGGGATTTAAAAGCCGTGTGGATGTGGCACTTGGGGACATGGGTTAGCGGTGGCCTTGGCAGTGCTGGGGGAATGGTTGGATTTGATGGTCTTAAAGATCTTTTCCTGCCTAAACGATCCCACGATTTCCTCCCTGGCGGCTCTGTCGCTGTCGCAGGGCGGGCGGGAGCTGGAGGCAGAGCAGTGCTACAAATACACCGTCAAGGTTCGTGTCTGTACCCCCGCAGGGGCCGCCCGCCCTGTTCCCTCCACAGCTGCAGGCCCGGCTGTAGCAGGGGAATCTCCGTCTCCCGCC